AAAAGTTGAGATATGTTTAGAATGGGGAAATTTTGAAGTCGATGTCTGAGATTACGAAACAAGATTGGGAAGAAGATACAATAGTTTCGATATTAGTCACTTAAGTTTTGAAGATTTAACACTTTACACCTATTTTCAAAATCTGGCCATATTTTCGATATTTTGATGAGTGGAGAAGATTTTTCGAAATCGGTACCAAAAGTTTCGAATATTTGACATCTTATGCCCACCTTCGAAAGTTGGGTTAATTTTCGACATTTTGGGACAAAACGCAGAAATTTCATAATCAGTCCGTAAGGTTTCGAAAAATTGGCTGTTGATAACCAATCTCGAAATTAGACTGATTTTGCTAAGAAATTGAAGAATATGCATTTCAGGCCCCTGCAGTTAATGCAAATTGATGCTTTCTACCCAGCTTCAAAAACATGGGAGAGTTTTGCATTTTTGGTTGTTTTGGGCGCATCGGGTCACTGTAGAATTTTAAAATTGACAATTTCTACCCATTTTTGAAAAAAAATTCGGTTTTCTGGATTACAGCACAAAGTTTATGCCACATGTTAAGGGGGAGTTTTGACACAAAATTTTTTGAATAGAGCACGTTCTCTTTCCTTGAAGGTTTTTTAATCAAATTTCGATTATAAAAAAGGGGAGAAATTTATATGGAAATTCGAACTCGAATATTTTATATTACGTGAATTTGAAAACCGAAGTGACCTTGAATTTTTGAAGTTTATGAAATGATGAGATTGGAGATTCGGAAGTGATTTTGGTTCGAAATGGGTTTGGTTTTATTGAAGATTTTCGTGGTGTGTTGTTATGCTCAACTTTAGGGTGATTATTTGGAGTTTGAGATGCTCTTGATCATTCGTTGATGATCATTTGTATGGTCTCACATCCTAGAACCCAAATTGAAGAATCATGGAAGAATGGAAGATTTAAAGTTCATTTCGATATGTGTCACCCTTGAGGCTCGGATCCCGTGGTTTCTCGATTTTGGAAGATTTGAAGTGGGTCATCCATTCCTAACTTTGAGGGGGAGAATGTTGGGATGCAAAGTTATCCATGTATGACTTTGTAATGTGTTGACTTTAGTAAAACCCACTTGCATGTGGTTCATTAGCCTTTTGAGTCATGTGATATAGTGTGAGAGAGTAACATGTAAACACCTTTATATAAGGTGGGTTTATTCCACTTATGGAGGTGTGCTTAAGAGGTGTAAAAGTTGAGTGTGTAAGTGTATGCTATTTATGTAGATGTAGATCTAGATCCTTTTTTTGTAACACCATACATATTCAATTCATCTCTTGAACACCTAAATCACCATTTTCATTGTGCAATCTTTAATTCCGCATGCCAAACCATGTTCTTGAAGTCACTACAGTTTTTTAATAAGGATTTCTACGAAGCTCTTAATAGTTTAAAACATAATAAATAGTGCTTAACGTATGAATGTCATAGGTTATGAAAATGGGAGTTGAAGTTCTTAAAGAAAAGATTTGAAAAGGGTTTGAAAGTAGGTTGCTAATGTCTACAAAATAGGTGAGTTATAACTTTAGTTAGATTATGGTTGTATGCGATAGATATGATGTTGATCATGAATGTATGAGTATGCGATAACAGATTATGATCTTGATTACGTGGTAAAATAATTTGATTTCATGTTCTTTATGCTTATGATATGAACGAATGAGATATTATGCATGAATAGCTAGCTATGTCATTATATGAACATATATTTTTTTAAGTAATTAGTAAGAATGAGATCTCTTAGAGTTTTTGCATGGATACTATACAGATGTAAGAGTCTGGTTAGTTGTCTACAACTAATAATAAAGACATATGGTCACTCATGTGACAAATTGGATACTAAAAAAATAATGAGATGAAATATTGTTTTATGTATGTTATGTTATGTTATAATTCACCAGATGTGTTGTCTGATAGATATTTCCATGTGTTTACATTTTGAGCTTGCAAGCCTAGAAAGAGTGGACCTAGAAGAATCATGAACATGGGCTGGACTTTTATTGCGTGTATTAGTTCTTGTTGCTCGAATTGTGGTTAATATATAGTTTGGGAAACCTATACTTGTTTCTAGAAATACTTTTGGAATGATCTTTGAAGCTCTGGTTTTGTAAAATATGTGAAATACTCTGATATTTTCCATAATTTAATGTGAAATATTTTATGAAAAATACTGAATGTTACAACATGTATTAGAGCCATAGTTTGAGTGAACTATTTTAGAGTGTCCCTACCTAGGCTTAAACTATCTGACATAAAGAAAGAACCATAGTATTTTTGGATCATTAGCTTGTGTATTGATATGAGTTTATATGTTAGAAATTCATGAATTAGTATCGTAATGCTAGTGGTCTATGATTTCAGAAATGGTTCGTATTAGAAACAGTGTTGCTCTGCAAGAGGGTGAAGGGACTTTGGTGGAAATCCCTAGTTAATTACCATGGAAGCTATAAAGAGGCTTCTTGAGGAGTTAAAAGATGAGGATCGCCATGAAATGAACTAGTTGATTGATGCTCGTCTGGAAGCACCAGTACTTCCATCTCCAGAGATTTTTGTGGCTACCATGTCATTTTCCTATTAGGGGTGTGCCATATGTTATTGGTGCATAATCTATTGTGGATATATCCTGAACTCAAGGGTCATCTCATGTTGCTCGTCCTCAAGAATATTTAAAGAAGTGATTTCCTTTTAAGTCTTTTATGGCGTCCAAGCTGAGTGAATATTGAAGTAGCGATTTAATCGAGTATAAATGTAATCAGAGTAATATGAACACATGGAGTTAATAAGATCTTGTTTATAGCTCACTTATACTTTTGAATACAAAGAGAGTATTAGACAGAAGTACTTGGAAAAGTTCTATCTATCTCTGAGTACAACTCCTATTTATAGGAGAATAAGAAAGTATACAAAAAATATTAAGGACTAAACATCAAGACTTCGAAACTAATATGCCTTAGTAAGTAGATAAAAAGACTTTCAAAACTAACTCAAATAACTACGACACATTACAACATATTTGACTCTAACATTATCCCTCTTTGTAATCACTATCGAACTCATTTTGTGAGTATTTGAGTAGCCATATGCATTAACCTTCGAACCTCTGTATACCAGCTCATAACCTTCTTCAGCTCAGCCTTATCTCCTTCATTATTTTTCTTACAGTTATTCATACAAACAATAAACTTTGTATATTGAGCAGTAGTATACCGTTCCACTTCTAAAGCTTAAAATAAGAATCTCTTAGCTTTTCCTTTCTTCTATGTTCCCGAAAAAACTAATCCCATTGGCTTTAAACAAATTTCCCTATCAGCAAACTTCTCCAGTTCTTCTTGACTCCTCACAATTTTTGGAGCAACTTTTACTTACTTTCCTAATGCAGTACACAACTCAATATTAGTTAAGGCTAGACAATCATATTAATTATCTATAAAGATTTGGATGTGAACAAGAACAAGTCTCAAAATCTCTTTCCCTGTCCCTTGAAGTTTCAAAGCATCCATATCTTTGAGAATAAATGCAACATGAATAAGATCATTCAATATCATTAATGGGAAGTCAACAACTATAAAATCACACATTACATTGTTTTCCCTTACAACATGAAATCGAAAATTTTGAATCATGTTTTCAAACAACACATCCTTAGTCACGCTTATCACACGAACAATCTTGATAAGGGACCAAACTTCCTCCTGCTCTTTTCCAAACACAGTATGAAACCTTAGCTTCATATGAAGAAAGTCTTCTTCATTCTCGAATTTCTCAATAATCTTGTGTTGAGCTGTGATGAACATCATTTCATTGATTGGGAAATCATGTTGATTCATATTTGTATTTTCTATTGAATAGTTGTTTCTTGGTTTCTTCTCGAATGCATACCTTTCATTATATGACATTCTCTCTTCAATATTTTCAAAGCTATGCAACTTCTTTGGTTCGCCTTTATCCATTTTAGGAGGATCATTTTCACGAAGTCTCATGATGCTTTGAATTTCACGTTGCTTCTCCATTTCTACTTCTATCTCAGCTTTTCTTTCATCTTTAGATTTTCCAATAAGTATCTCCTTTCCTCTTCCCTTATCAGCTTATGAAGACTTAGGTTTTGAAGAACTTCCTTCACCAGTAGAATTAATTACAATGCCTTTAGCAATTGGCCTTGTAGTAACTATAGTTACCATTGTTTGTTTTGTCTTTGAAAATTTTGGTTTTGTTGTAAGAATTTGAGCTTTGAAATTTTTTCCAACAACCTTTGTTACTTCAGTTGATTTTACTGTTTCGCCTTTACCAACATCTTTATTTTCTCCCCCCTGCAACTCAGTAACAACAAGCGGCGCATTTGTTGGTAAGAGATTGATTAATTGTGATAATGGAGCTAACACTTTTTGAACTTGATCCTCAAATAAACAAAACATTTGAGCTAAAAACTCAGGAGTTATAATAGAGGAAGGGAAAGACTTCGAAACAAGCTCCTTTAATTCGACAAGCATGGTATTAACTTTACCAAAGCTATTCACATCAACAGTTACTTTCTCATCAAACATGGGAACAAAAGATTGATTTGTTTGAACAAACGTAGTAACGACATCAGCAATTATGTCAACTTTCTCAAGAGTCAAAGAATACTTTTGAACCAACTCACGAAGCTCTGTAGAGACACTCACTTTCATTTCCTCAAGCTTGTGATTCACATTTTCACGAATAGTTTTTACATCTTGCACAAAAAGAACATGACGTTCCTTAGCAACACATTTCAAATCCTTGAGCTCATCATTAAAATTCAAAGAAGAAGACTTCACTCGTACATCATTATTTTTGTCCAAGACATCAAGCTTGTCTTGAATTTGAGACTCAGATTCTTGAACCAACACATTCAATTTATTTAGAAGGCAATGTTCTTGAGCTTTGATCATGACATCAACTTCAATACCAGAAATAGTATTCCGACCCTCTGCGGCTGCTTGTGATTGCAACAATCAGTTAAGTTTTTTGTTGAGAATTTTGAACTGCTTCCCCGACATTAACATATGATATGGTAAGTTTTCTTCTTCAAGATCAAATTCTAAGTCAACAAATGATCCTCCAAACCCTCCATCATCAGTAGCATCATCAATGATTGGTTTGGGTGGCCCAGTAGATTGAGACGGAAATAGAGAAGTAATTGGTTGACTTATGACAAAATCAAATGTAGGTGAGTGTGATGTAGTGGGAACTATGGTGACAAATGGTGGCAAAGAAATATTGTTAGTGATGACTACAATTTCAAAAATACCTTGAGTAGAAGCAGGGTTTTCAGTGTTCGAGACTCCTTTACCCATATTAACATTTACATTCATATTAGATACATGTGTAATAAGGTCTGAGGTTCAAACCTCCTCATGAAATGACTTGGTTAACGAATCCTCAGGTGGTGTGATGTAAGTCTGCTCAGGAGTTTATACTTTTGTTGAACTACCAACAATAGTAGTTGTGTCCACTATAGAAGTTTCCACAGAGTTATTGGAAATAACTATCTCCTTGAGATTCGATTTGATAGGAGATTTGTTCTTGAATGAAACATCACCCATCGGTGTTTCAGGAACTTCAACATCTTCCATAGAATCTTCATGAATAATCAGCTTTCTCTTTTTGCTCTTCATCGAAATGTGCTTAGCAACATCCTCAGCCCTTCGCTTCTTGGAGGATGGAGAAACAGGAACGGGAACTTCACGAATAACAAGAACTTTCCAAGTAACATGTGGCTTTCGAACCATAGAAGGAGAAAAGCTAGAAAATCTTTCATGATACTTTTGTGATCTATGAGCTTTCTTTTTAAGACACTTGAATACCCCAGTTATCGAAGGAACAATTTCCTTTGAAAGTTCATCAGTGTCAGGCTTAACATGTTTCTCTGACTTTTTCAAAACTTTAATCACTACTCTAGCCTTCTGCTTAGGTGACTGATCAACTTTTTCTTATGAAACAACAAAATCTTTCTTTTGTTTTTATGATTTCTTCGAAGAACCTTCAGCACTTTTTGCCAACAACACACCTGTACCATCATTTGTATTGATAGTAACAAAATAAACCTCTAACACTGGATTCGAAGGATAAACTTTCTTGAGCATCCCATCAGGTATCCTGCCAACTGTAGGAAAAATACTTACATCATCTTCAATCGTCTTTGCAAAATGATACTTCAAGAATTCTGCTTTAGGCTCATCAGCAAGCACCATAATACTTTCCTTTTCATAAGCATATTGAAGAATTAGACTCCAATATCTTGCACAGGATACCCCATCTACTACATTTGTGTTTTCAACACTCTTCAAAAATTCTTTCTACACCCAAGTCGCATAATCAATAGACAGGTCATAGTAAATGCCTGCGACCATAGCATACACCTCCATACGTCCTTTTTCAAAACCAACACTTCGACTTGTAAGGCATCGAAGATAAATTCCAAAAAGAAAACTCGATAAACTTGGAAGACTAGACTTCTTGAATTCACTGATTTTGGTGAGAGTAGGTTGATAACCGTTCACATTGAACATGTGTAACACTTGTTCATTAGTGACTTTGTAGAATGGTGGAGAATTGGGGATTGAAAGAATCTTGACAAAAAAACTTCTTGATAAGACGAAACTTCTTATCATTGATCAAATTGAACGTCACAATATCCATCGTCTTGCTATATGAAGTGGTAGCACCAGCCATGGACAACCAAGACATAAGTACTTCAAAAGAATTGAACATTATAGTCGATAAAACAGAATGTTTCAAAGCAACAATGAGCATCTTGAGTTCTTCACGGTAATCAGTAACATCTCCATCGACTTGATAGTTGGTACTCTGGATCTTCATGATGGGTTTAGAAGATGCATAATCAGTAGTGTTGGATTGAAGAGCGGCGACCATGATTAGGGTTTGCTTGAAGTCTTTTGAAGATTAGAGAAATAAAAGAACATTGATTGTCTTTGAGTAATTTTTAATATGTAAAGTTGGAATGAATACATAATTTCTCCTTTTATGTGTATCTCTGATTTGAATTTCAAACGGTTACCATCAATAAGCATAACACGTGTACCTTGAAACTCATACCACTAGCTGTCATACACCCCATGTCAGATAAAGTGATGAGAACTGTTTCCAAGAAGCTTGCACAATTATCAAATCGTCACTTCAAATGTATTTTCATCTGTACTGATGGATAAAAACAAAACCTTCGAAATGGAGGTTAGGCTCTTTTACTTTTGGGTTTAAAATGAAGTCATATGACAGACTTTCGAAATCATCAACCTGAGTTGGTAATACTCAGAACCTCAAGGATTTCGTGAGTATAGTGTGCCAAAGAAAAAGATAAAAATCATAATAAAAAAAAATTATTTTGTGATGTCAAAAATAAAATTTCGACATAAAGTCAAATAAATCACGAGAAAAGATTGCTTCGCTAATCATCAAGAGAGATGACCAACAACTTGTGTGGTTTACCGTGAATTACAAGCGAATAATTCTGGAGAAGTATTGAAGGGCTTCTTCTAGTTTGGCTTTAATGGTGGTTTAAAATTTTGTTACAAAGCATACTTAACATAAGTATGACAAGTTTTAAACGAAACTACATATTTGACCAGTGTAGTCAGTGACAAGTAAGCTTTGAAAAGTTTATTAAGTAAAGAAGATTAAGAAAGATACTCAAACGAAAATCATATTCTTGAAATCAAAATAAGACCTAAATCTTGTTGGGAAACATATGTCGTTGGTTTCGAACATTTGATCAAGATAACTATTCAAGAAAAGAATATGATTTTGAGTATCGAATTTAGGTACTAAAGGAAATGTTTCGTCATATCTGGGACATAGTTCCCCATCAATTCCTTCTTAATTTAGAAAATTTAGGTTTCACTTTCATCACGGTCTCATGAATCCAGATCATAAACACAGATTTTTTATATGTCTAAATCCTGATTGGTTTGTACCAAAGATCTCTTGGACATATGTCATTGTGTGTGATTGTGTAAGAATTTTTAGGAGTAAAAAGATGGATTTTTTGAAACAATTGTACCTCTGCTATGTTTGGACCAAGTGGTAAACTCTTGACTCATTTGAGAAGAGCAAGGTATCTCAAGGACTAATGTTAAGATAGCTTGATTGGGAAGAAATTTTCGTGATGAAAACTTCATTAAGGCTTTGAAAACACGCATTGAGTCAAAGGAGGCTTAAGTCAACATGTTGCAGCATGCTTCTAGGGACAACCTAACTAGTACAAAGTTTTTCGAAAAATATACCTGACCCTAGAACTGCGAGCATGAACCATGGTTGATCTTTGCCAAAAGCTGCAAGAAAATACAAACACCAAAAAAAAAAAAAAAAAAAAATGTAGTTTTGATATTCCAAAATTTAAAAGACAAAACAAAAGTAAAATCTTTTTATGCTTTTTGATGTTTTTAAAAAATTAAAAGACAAAACAAAAAATAGAATCTTTTTGTGCTTTTTGAATTTTTAAAATAAAAGTAACAAAAAAATTTATACAAAACTCATGAAAATTTGTGATTAAGTGATTTTTACATAATGTCGAAAACGAAGCATGTCAAAGCGTTGAACATGAACAGTAACCTCTAAATGACATGCTATTTTATTTATACGACCATTCAGCACCTCTGAATTGACACTCATGCAACTTTCTTTTGTTATTCTATCGAAATTAACCCAGGAATTGAATTGCCTTCAATCATTCCTAGTCCTACCAAAATTCTCACGAATGATTTTCATCCAATGGCTTTGTGAAAATATCAGCAAGTTGATCAGTGGTTTTCATAAAGTGAACTTCGATATTGCCATCCTTAACATGATCTTATATAAAGTGATAACGAAAAGCAATATGCTTGGTTTTCAAATGTTGCACAGGATTGTGACAAATGCGTATATCACTTTGTAAATCACAATACAATGAAATTTTCTTCATGTTGATTGCATAATCATGCAGTTGGATTTGAATCCATATGATTTACAAAGTGCAAGTTGCAGTAGCAACATACTCTGCTTCTTCTATGGAAATCAAAACACATGTTTGCTTTTTCGATTGCCAACTTACTAACTTCCCATCCAGTAATTGACATCTACCACTTGTGATTTTTCTATCAAGATTGCAACCTCCTAAATCAGCATCAGAAAATAATTGTATGAAGAATCTGATTTTTGAAAGATACCACAATCCTAACGAAATTGAGCCTTTGAGATATAGAAAAATATTCTTCACTGCTGTTAAGTATGGTTCTCTTGGATTCGATTCATATCTAGCATAATGACAAACATAAAACATAATGTCAGGTCGACTAGTTGTATGGTAAAGTAACGAACCTATCATGCTCCTGTGTAAAGTAAGATCAACAGTTGGTTTGTCTAAAGAAGGTGTTCGCCTTATTCCAACTACCATTGGAATAATTGTACAAAGTCAAACTTTTCAAGCAGATTATTTGTATATTTTTCTTAATTGATAAAGATTCCTTTTCTGCTTTGACGGATATTCAATCCTAGAAAATTGTTTATATTTTCCATCATGCTCATCTCGAATTGACTTTTCATCAGATTTTCGAAATCCCTAAACAAAGCAGGGTCATTTGAGCCAAAAATAATATCATAAACATATATTTGAACAAGCATAAGATGATCCCCAACTTTCTTTCTGTAACATACGAATTTCCAGGTACCATATTTAAATTGTTTATTTTGAGTTATGAGGAGGGACTCGACAAGTTGACGCTTAGACTCATCGAGTAGGATCGCGATTTGCTGACTGGATTAATGAAAAGACTTGACGAGTCGATGGGTGGACTCGACGAGTCCATGTTGTGAGTGGAAACCCTAAATTCTTGGTCATGTGCCCTATTTGAGGGACCTTGTAGCCATCATTTGTGGCTACCATTCCAGAGAGAGAAACCCTAGTGAGCCTGAGCGTGTGGTGTGAGACGAAGGGCTATTTTGATCCTTGTTGGTGTGGTTTTGCAAAGAAGAAGGAGATTCCAGGAAAAGAAGGTCGAGGGGGTTTCTATTTTGTGGTTTCAAGCAAGGAACTCCATCTTTGAGGTATTAAATCAATCCTTCTTCTGTTTTGGAGTAGAACCCTTGAACCTAGGGTTTTCTCTACCCTTTATTGGCTTGGATATGATGCTTATGATGTCCCTTGGAGTGTTAAACTCTGGATCTGGACCTTGAGAGGTCCAGAGAGCCCCAAGCTACCTGATTTATGTTGTTCCATTACAGATATGAACCTAGGTTGCCATTTTAGAAGCTATTTCACCAAAAGGAGTCTTATATGTGTTGCATGAGTACAAAGGTTGAACCTTTACGTAGTTATTGAGCCTTAGAAAGTCAGATTTGTAGGTTAGAGAAATAGATCTGACCTCAGAAGGTCATTTGAGTGTTGCCATGGAAGGAACTCGCCGAGTCCATAAGGGGACTCGAAGAGTCAAGTTGTGTTGTGACGCAATTCGTGACCAGTGGTAACCCGTTGAGTGAAAGGTTAACTCGACGAGTCGAGTGAGGATTTATGAGGATTATAAGGACATGCTGGACTAGCTGAGTCATGCAAGTGCACTGGACGAGTCTGGTCAAAATTTTACCATTGACTACAGTTGACTTTCGTTGATTTTTAGGGTTCGATCAACACTTGACTTTTGGACAATTAAAAGGGTAAACTGGTCTTTTAGCCTTCTGAGAAATCATTAGAAAGGACTAGTCTATCCTGGAGAGCCATTATTGATTTGAGATGATTGCTTATGTTCTTAGGTGGGGCTAGGTCATTGTTATGACTGTAGCACCTGGTTCCCGATGCGTATTTCGTGTAATTAATAATTCTTAATTCATGCATTTTGCCTTGGACTCAGCGAGTTGAAGGACCAACTCGCCGAGTAGGAGCTGGATGAGACGCGGGGTCTGAGCCTCGGACTCGGTGAGTTGGTTCCCCAACTCGGCGAGTAGGCTCTGTTTGGGCAAAAACCATAACTCGGGTGTTTGCACCCTATTTAAGCACTCTAACTCAGCCTCCCTTGTCCCTAACACTTC